AAATAAAAGGAAAGTAACATTTATTTGATACCCAAGCCAAAACCATGGAGCTATAGTTTAAGCAACACAAGATCTATAATATTGCTAGAGACAACAAGAAAATGCTTTATCAAAATACTGATCAATAGACTTGTCAATATATGTTAAAAAAGCACAAAATTTTATGAGAATCTAATTTTACTAGCTTACAAGGAGAAAGTATAGTTGAATCCATCCAACTTCTAAATAGTATCTATGAAGAAGTTAGAAAAAAGAAAAAGAAACTATTGATTATTTTCAAAACACAGCCAAAGTATATGATATGATCAACCTCAAGATGTTGAAAAGATCTATAAACTGAATCTGTATTTCAACTACTAGTAAATAATTGATTATAGATTTCTTTAAAAATAAAAAATGCAAACCAATTCTTCCAACAGAGCTTTTAGATCCAGTTACAGTTGGTGATAGAATAGATCAAGGGGAAACAATCTTATTTTTATTCTGGATGATTTTCTATGATCCATTATTATGCAAAATTCAAGAAAATCCAAACTATAGATATACAATGGAAGAAGAATGGATACTGGACTTCCAAAAGTCACATCTCAAAAAAAAACTTTCTCTAAGACAAGTAGCAATAGCATACATGAATAATACTACTTGAATTACCAAATCCAAAGCTAATATAGAATATATTTTTGAAGATGCAAAACAATTTTATCAGACAAATGATTTACAAATCAATAATAAAAATCCATCCTCCTGACCTTCAATCAAAACAGTACAGACTCAAGCACAGTTCATGCAGTGACAGACAAATTAATAGTTAAGAAACTAGATAAATATGATCAAGTAAGATTCCTGAGTATTTGGTTAGAAAGAAGGCACAACAATTGGAATACTATTAATCTACTCAAGACAAAGATCAGAACAGTAACCCAAGCAATTAGCAACAAAAGCCTAACTGAAAAATATATCAGATATATTATCAATAAAGTTTTAATCCCCCATATAGAGTACAAAATGCAATATATACACCTGAATAAGAAAGTTTGCAATGACCTAACAGTCATGTATAGAAAAGCTTTAAAAAATAAAGTCCTAACTTGTATAACAATGCCAAATAGTTATATATACAACAAACAAATCTATAGGCTCAAAAGTATATGAGAAATTCAACTCGAAAGTCATATAACAACACTGTTTTGTCAACTAAATAATAGTAAAACTTCAGAAATTGCAATAGTCATCTGACTTAAAAAAAGTCAACTCAAATACTGGGAACTCAAAAACATATTTGATAATCTAATAAAAGTCAAGACAATTGAGAAAAATAATTTTGCTACTGCAACTTTGGCTATAGCAAAGAAGCTACAGATCATATATAATAGCTGAAAATAGAAAAAAATCTTTGATACTCAAGAAGGCACCATATCTATTAAGACAATTATAAATGATGAAAAAGAATATATGAAAGCTATTTCTTCTCTAAAAAGAAACAAAATAATGTTTTTAGATCAACTAATTAATATAATCACACTAACAATAAGAGAATGGAAAACAGTTTAAATTTTTGCCAATACTTGTAAAGGTCCCTTTTAAATTGATATACACAAATTAGAGCAAAGGTAACAAAACAATAAAACTTGCTAAAATAGTTTTACCAAACTCTAAAATGGATTAAACACGAACTTCAAATAGTAAAAGTGATCCCTAAAATGAACAAACAGAAAATCAATTGGGAAGTTTTGACTGAAACAATAGGAACTACTATAGGAAAAGTCAAAATGCAAAATATAGGAGTACTTTTTACATCATATTAGCTTACCTACAATCCTATCACAAATAGTACTATATATCATCCTTATACATTTAAACAATTAATGATTTCACACATATCCCAAACCTAGTTACTACTATAACTAAATAGGTAAGAAAGTTTTAGAAAAAAGAATCCACTTATATTTTTAGAAAATCCCATAGACTAGTAACCTACAGTATTAAAAAATGAATAAAATACTATATATTCATTAAGATCAGAAGAGATTGAGATACAAATAGAGAATTGGGAAGTTAAACTGATTAAACAGGCCATATAATTAGAGGAACATATGACAGTCTAATAAAAAGTCTTAGATATAACTATAAAAATAACACAAAGCAATTTATTTTCTTGATTGACAGATCTTATAAGCAATATACAAAAAGCAAGAATAAACTTGAAATGGGTTTTGCATGGATTCAAATTGAAAACAACATAATAATCAACCAATTCTCAATAGGAGCAATATCATGGCTATTAGCTACAAGAGCAGAAATCCTAACCATACTTATTGTAATCTTTACAATACCTGAAAATAGAAAAACAACTATATATACAAATTGTAGTGTAGCTATCAAGATATGGAAGACAATCCAGTCACAAAAGTTTATTTCTATAAGAAAATAGACTAAAATGATCAATTGGCCACTATGGAACTGAATTAAGAATCTAGTATAAAAGAAAAATCTTTGCCTCATACTTGAAAAGATTAAGACCTATCAAAACAATGAGTTTAACAATATAGCAAATAGGTTAGCAAAGTAGGCCAGAAGAGAAAACCACTTGATTTAGCAATAAACACTTTATCTGAGTCAAGTTCTCACAATAATAGTCTGGAAGAAACATACTATTGATATCAGTATTAGAAATTTTCTTAAAAAATGGAACATTAAAAAAATAGGACTAGCCTGGATAGAGGAAAAATATATTCAAAACTGATAAATACATCTTAATAAAGAAATTAATTAACAAATTTTCTGAAAACAATTCAATCTATATAATATTTTTTATACCTTCTTTAACATCAACAAGAATAAAAGTTTTTTGGTAAACCTAATCCATGATGAGTTTTCTACTCTTTAAGTGATATAGAAAAGAAAATCAGACTTATATTCAAATACAATATGTTCAATGTGCAAATTATAAAAAAAATACTGAAACATTTTTTTGAATGTCCCAAAATTCAAAGTGAAAGATTACTTATATAGGACAAATATCAAAATAAAATTCTTTGGTATATCAGGAAAACAAAAAATCTATCTGATAAGAGCTAGACAGAAATTAAAAGAGTAATAGGGAAATGGATCCAGGACATTAAACAATAAGATAAAAGTTTATATAATATAGTCTGTATTTTTATACATAAAGACAAGATCAAGATTTTGGAAAAGCATCTTAAAGCTCTCAAAATCCTAGTGACAATAACACAAGAGACTATTGATAAATTTTATAAAAAAATATAAAAGACCTTCAAGAAGGAAGTCTGGAACCAGCACTATAGTATTGCTATTGAATAAGAACAAAATTAAGGAATTATCAGCAAACTCAAAAAACTTAAAATATCAACAGATATAACTAGAAAAATGGACCACATCCCTAAGGAAGCCAATTACCCCTCTATTTTTCTCTCCAAAAATGCAACAAAAGAAGAAGAAGACTTAAAACAAATAAAGTTCCAAGACAATATAGTAGATATAATAAGTAGTTGGATATCCAAAGATTTTAAATGGTTTGGTTTTTAATCACAGTTAGAACTTTGGAAGATCTATGGTGATAAGCTGTAGACAATAATCTGAGTGGCTAGAGGATAATCCAAGTCATAAAGGGAGTGAAATATTATTCCCTAAGTTGTATTTAGAGAAGGTTATACTTTGTAGATGGGTAAGTCAATATATGAAAGTCATAAAATATGTAAATATCAAATATATTTACAATAAAATAAACAAGTCATATTGACCTGACTGTGAATTAAAAAAATAAATAAATAAAAAATAAAGTTATAAATATAATTGAAAATTAATTTATTATAAATTTCTATTATACTGTATATATAGATAAATAAATCTATTTTATTATCAAAAAAATTATAACTATTCTTCAATTCATAATAGTTCTTGCAATAATATTTATCAATTGATCTAGAAATACAATTTTATAATTTTTTTTTAATATTTTTTTATTATTATTTAAAATCAATTTAAATTATTAAAATATTTTTTTAATCTTTAAAGATGTTTTTTTATTTTTATTTTTGAAAAAATGGATATAAACTATTCATTGATTAATGCTAATGTTGTTATTGCAAGAATTATTTTCATATATTTTTTAATTATGAATACAATTGTTGAATATCAGATTATAGACTAGACTCTTGTTTTTAAAAATCTTACATACATTTCTATAAAATTATTGCAAGTTCTTTTATTGAGATACAGTATGTATATCACATTTTGTATTCTAAATAGGAAATCCGAACTTTATTGATTATATAACAGATACTGTATATTTTTCTGTTATGCTCTTGGTAGTTGTCTAGATTACAGATGTGATTTCTGAGGTTGCATCGAGCATTCATTATTTGGTTATCATAATAAAAATTAAAAAATACGATAATGCAACATAGAAAAGTTGAATATTTTAGATTTATAATTTCAAAAAAAAAGATCATATAAAAATTTATTTAAAAGATATTAGAAATTCATTGGCAATTGACTTATCGTTTGTAATATAAATCCAAAATTTCTTTTGGGAGTTTCACAAAACATATTAAACAGATTAACTAATATATATATATATATATATCTAACCAAAATCAAATATATTTACCGATATATACAGTATGCTCGCTGAGTGCGAGTTGGTCTATAACTCTTTAGCAAAAAGAACTTGCGCGGAAACCAACCGCACGCCTATTCAATAAAACTTAATCCCACCCCTTCTTTTGGGATTATATTATTTTGTTTCAGGTATTCGTCGTCCCTTAATAAATGAAATTTCAGAAAAATGAGTAAGGATGGCTATCCTGGTAAATTTGATTATGGATTATTGGCAGAATAGGTACAAACCAGAATTTTGTCAAATGCTGCATGGGTTGATTCAAAAAGGTTTTTCATAAGAGAGAGGAAAAGAAGCCAGGTAAGCAAGAAAAGATCTGCAAACACAGCCCATTCACACATCGCGTTCATCGAAATCTTACCCTTTGACCTGAATCACATAAAATCGTCACAATACGATGCCCTGGCCCTAATTTTCGAGCCACTCTCACACAACCAACGCAATTTATGGCCGTGGAGCTCCCGACAAAGAGACCTAAACGAAAAGCATCAGCGACGGTCAATTTTTGATCATTCGAGATTCCATGATCATTTCATCCGAACCTTCTTCTCTCACTAAATATCTCGCCATGGACACCGCCTCCTCATCAGTAACAAGAATTGCGTCATCAATAAATCCCATTGACGCGTTAAAATTCCCCGTTGTCCGATTCAGCCCAACACCCTCAACTACCGTGTCAACTTGATGCCTACGTCGTGTTCCCTCGGCCTCGAAGGGCGAATACATAATGTTATATTTCACCTTATTGTACAATCCCGAGCCAGGCGGGTCAACGAGGAAAACCCTGAGATTAGGTATGAGGGGTTTGAGGTAACGGGATACTCCCGCGATGGTGCCTCCGGTACCTATGGACGCAGAGAACTTTGGTATACCATTTCTTCGGCCGATCACATGAACATCATGAAAATTCACATACCGGCCCCAGATACGAAAGCGTCAATTTTTCCTCCAGTCTGCCTGTATATTTCAGGACCGGTTCCCTTAAGATGCGCCTCATAATTTGACAAATTTTCAAATTGATCTGCAAAGAATCCCGTTTTACTTTCCGCCGGCTCATATTCCTTGCTCTCGCTGTCCTGCTTATCTTTATCAGATTTTCCGAATTCCTCGGCGCGGCTCTTGGCCAAATTCACGAACTGGAGTTTGTCAACTATACTCGCGGGACGCACCTTCTCCACGGTAGCACCCAACTTCTCCAACAACGCATATTTCTCTTCGGCCTGATCGTCGGGAATCACAATCCAGGCATCGTATCCTTTCGCACGAGATATCATGGCGATTGATATTCCGGTGGATCCCGACGTCCCCTCAAATATGGTGCAACCCGAATTCGGACGTATCAAACCCCGATCTTCGGCAAAGTTGATGATATTAAGAGCGACCCGATCTTTTGGACTCCCACCTGGATTTAAGAACTTTCGGAATTGTTAAAGTGGTGGCAAACCGTTGACTGCGAATGTTACTGCAAAAAAATATGAACCTCGACTTTTCCCTGTTGAATTCGATTTTAACGATGGAATACATGAGTCGGTAGCACAACGAGTAGCCTAACACACATGCAGGTAGAGTCAGCAATTCAGCAATACCGACCAGTATTTCACAACCGGTCGCCTCGCTCAAACTCCTAATTCTCATTAAGGGGGTGTTGCCGATTAAGCCCACTATACCATCCACTATTTTCGCATTACGTCCTTTGAAATTCGCGTCGTTATCCTCGTCCCCTTCATCCTTATTCTTCGATCGAAACCAATTGATTATAGAACTCGTCGAAATGGTAATTATGACGCCAAACGCCAGACCCCAAAACAATGAGGTTTTATCCATCATCTTGTGACAACAACAGGGAAAAAAAAAAATGTTAATATATCTTTAGCTGCAAGAATCGCGTGATACTCATGTGATACGGCTGATTTCGCAACGGAAACATGACGTCCAATTAATCCCAGGCCCACATGTCATACAATGGGTGAAATGCCAAAAGACCATCAACAATAACTTGGACGCTGTAGCCTATTTTATAACGTGATGCAGTTTTTTTTACACACCCTCAATTTTTTCTGGTACGTGCACGTGATCAAAGCGATTCGGCGCACTATTGGCAAGGAGATCAACAATGTGTTCACAGCGTAAAATCCAGACAATTGGAAAAGAAGTATATCTTGAACATGATCCCATCATTCTTTCTTTCAAAATTCAAGGTGACCTTTGCTCGCTCTTGAGAGAGGCATTTTTATTTGCAAGGATTTCTTTTTTTTTTTTAAAAAAAGAAAACGAAAAAAAAAAAAAAAAAGGAAAAAAAGGAAAAAAATCTTTGATTCATGTACTGTACTTTTTGTATAAATTAAGAGTAAAGGAGTTATGAAAACTATTTTACAGGAAGAAAAAAAAAAAAAGAAAGAAAGAAAGAAAAGTGTTCGGAGTAAAGTCCACGTAAGTCAAGTTGCAAAACCTTCTAAACGAGAGAAAAGAATGTGTGCATATGTCTCCTTGCGAAAGATTCGGGATGAATTCAGGGAAATGGTAAAGTTACAAAAAAAGAAAAATTTGAAATCGCGTCCAGCGAAAACTGAGAAATATGTAAGAAAAAAAAAAAAAAAACTTTGGAAGGAGATCATAAATTAAATTACCAAATCGGGCCTGCCAACTACATATCCCCATAATATATGGTAACGCAAACATCTTCGTCACTACCGAAAGCGCTCGATAACACTTGCCACTCTAACTCGCTTTCCACAAAGTGTATATTCTTCTTTGAATATTTGTACCTGATACCGCCACGCTTTATTTTACCGTTGCGAAAAGCATCATTTCCTCGGAGATCCGTTCTCACCATGCTATTATTATTCTTCTTGCTTGAACTCTTGGAGTTCTTTTCCGATAACACGTCTACCACATCTCTTTTCGGATCAAATTTCTGTGGGTGATACAACACTTTACACTTCTCATTCAACTCATGACCATAATTTTGGGCCACGTAATGTTTAAACGAATTCAGAGTGACACCGTGCGGTACTCTGACATCAATGCAGTAATCAGGATTCTCGAAGTTGAAGTAGACTTTGAATTTGAGAAGCTTGAGCGGTGAAGAGAATGAGGTGGGACGCTCCCCGGTCGAACGTTTCTCCGTAGAGTTTGTGGTAAGGTTGAGGGGTTCGTTCGCCACGGGAAGTTTTGCAAGGTACCTTGCCGGGTGCTTTGGCGGTGGAGTCATTGTTGTGCGGCGTGCGTGGGATGGGTCGCGGCGGGTTACAGAAGCACGTCGACGACTAAAAGAAGGCTTCCGCTGAATATTATGAGTTCCGCGTTTATGTTGGCGGCGTTGACGTTTTTTCTCGGTGTCTTTATTCTCGCGTGTTTTCTCAAATGTGAGTTGCGTTTTCTCAAATACAAATTGCGTTCTCTCCATTGATACTTGATAATCGGATTCTATCTCGGTTGATTTTTCTAGTAAAAGTTGTGCTTTCTCTAATGAAACTTGATAGGTTGATTCTTTCTCGGAGGATTTCTCCGGCGTATTCTCTGATAAAAATTGATCATTCGATTCTTTCTGAAATGAAGCCTGTTGGCAACTCGATTCCTTTTCGGATAATTCTCTTTCGCATGAAATGTTGGAATCCAGATCCTTTGGATCAATGATGATCATCACCTTCTTGGCGATCTCTTTCTTACCATCCTTCGAAGTCGAACAAAAGGACTTCTTTAAAAGTTTCTTGATAAATCGTTTAACGCCTGATTTCTTTGTGTAAATCTTGTCGTCGTGAATTGGTTTAGAGGGTTTGGAGAATTTCAGAATTGTTTTGTTCAACATTTTTTTGTTTTTGTTTTGGGAATAGAGACGATGATGATAAAAAGAAAATGAAGGGGTGAGCGCAAGAATAAATGAATCGCGGATTCGTAAAAGAAATGTGTCGAGATTTCGTCAAAGTTTGAAATATAAAGTTTCGTAGATCTTCACAGCTCGTTTGTGGGATCCACGGACTTTAAAAAAATATTGCGAGGCAAGAAGTGTTTTCTATCGACTCCTTCAAGCTCGATCGGGCACCTCTTATATAAAAATTTTTTTTTTTTTTTTTGATCACGCTTTTTCATCAACGAAAACCTCCTTTGCCCTTTGCGCATCATAATCTTACAGAACTTACCATATAAAACTGTGGTCCAAAGTGAGTTGACACAAGATAAAGCATTCTTCATCGATCCGATGTGTGATTTATTAATTCATAAAATTCTTTTTTTTTTTTTAATGACAAAAAAAAAAGATTCGGAAAGAAATATGAGATGCAAGAAGGAATTCGAAAAAAAAAAACGAGCCACAGAAATCAATGGAACAACAATACAACGTAGTAATACGTGATAAAGAAAAAGATGCGCAAAAGAGATTGTGTAATAAGAGGAGGGGGGGAAAACCGATCGGATTAAAGAAGCATCAAACACATATACAGTAATAATAAAACTGAGAGGAAAAGGATGGTCTTACTTTTACCAAGGATTTAAAATGTTTAAGGAAACACATTGCTTGCATAGCTGATGTGAGTGTGTATATTACTGATGATTGATTGAACCCCTGATTTTATTTTTAACTTAATTTAAATTCCAATGGAGATATCGAGTGGGTATGGATTAATGGATTTGAATAGTAAATGTAAATGAATAACCTTTTTAAAAAAAAAAAAAAAGGTATTTTAGCACAACTTATGCTATTGCGAATCATGATTGATGTTTTAGGATTGTTTACACCACAAACATTCGATACGATTGACTAAGACCAAAAAAGAAAAAATAAATGTGCATAACCAAGATTCTAGCTAGACTCTGGGCGGAAGGGATTATAGGCATCGTGTTGCTATCATTATGTCATCGATTTGATAAACAATAATTTCATGAATGATCTTTCTTTTTTTTTTTTTTTCCTTTAATGTGTGATTGGTCGATTAACCAGGCCATACGAGGGAAGCAGGTGGTCGACATAGCATTTTTAGAAATTCGATAATAAGGTCAGTCCATAAATGTCTTACTATGTACATTTGAATTATTAATGACACATGGTAAATTTAAACTCGAACATCAAAAGACATCATGGTTCTTAACTAATCGCGATCGAAGATTGGTCGAGGATTGAAATGCGCAAGTTAAAGAAACTCGGGAAAGAATTTCAAGGAGTCATACCTAATATCATCACGTGTATCACACTGTCAATTCTCCAGTTTCGTGTTGAGTCCATGAGATCACGCATCCATCACACCCATCGATTTGGTTAATTTTACCGATGATCTTTGAATGGATGGCCAGATTCTCGAAGGATTGGAATATATTGAAAGGAGATGACGCAACTTGTTTTCTGGTTTTACCTTTAGGTACCACGATGCAAGTAACTTAACTTTAAAACGAAACATGCTATATGTCAATGGACCAAGAATGTCGTGGAAAAATTGGTTCTAGTCTAATCAAGGATGTCGTACATACAGTATAAACAAATAAACATCGGTACACACTGAGTTGAAACGTAAACACCTTACACCCATAGCCCCAAATGTTTCCAATAAGCGTGCGCGCAGATGAAAATCAATTGAGGTATATTTTGTTTTGAACTTGAATCGGCGAAATTACGCATTTCCTATATTTCAAAGCGTTTCAGTATCACGAGGAAGATGCAAAGGGTGTTCTCGATTTGCCAAGGAAAAATCGTGATCTAATTTATTTTCCCAATATGAAATCATTTTCAACGACATTGGAACTGCACTTTCATTCGTATTTGACGAATGATCATGTGGTTCTCGCAATTACGTATATATATGGTCGATCGGAAATCGTATGATGTGTTTGTATTTTCCCTTTCTCAGAGTCTAATTAATAAATAATGATTTCCTCGAGTCCAAAAGACTCATAATAATTAATAATTGAATTTCACGCGTCGATATCGGGCAACCCATTTTTTTTTTTTTTCTTACACCAACCGTTTTCCAATTCTGCGCCAGCAATAAACCCGATGCGATCGATGAGAGGTCGGACGGACAGTTTAAGCACGTCCTAAAACTGCGAGGCGGAAAAAAGTATTATTTGCAAAAAGGTGACCCCGGTATTGTTGTATCGCGTTCGCGTTCAGAACAATACCGACGTAAGCGTTGGGCGTCAGGCGCCACCTCCAAAAAATACAGGCGGAAAATTTTTCTAGTGGGAACAGGACATTCTCGTATTATTATAAGTCGCATCGCAACATCCGGCGTATGTTTATAGTAACTGATCTTTTAAGGTTGAGAATTATTCTCGACAGCGTGCATCAGGTTCAGTGGTGAATATCATCTTAACAGGCAAGACAAGAAAGAACGTTAAAGATAATACTTTTTATCCACGGTAAAATGTTCCTCGGCACTCTATTTTATCACAAATCACATAAATTTCATTAAAAGTATATGAAAATTAATTCGGAAAAATCAATAAAAAATATCACATGCACACACACACACATAAATTTGTACTGTATTTCTATAATTAGTTGTCGAATCGAAATTGTGGACCACGAAAAAATTTCCATCAGATCAATGTCGCACAAAATAATGTAGATATTGAAAAAATTTTCCTGGCGATGATAGTTCGAGAAAAAAAAAAAAAAAGTTTTCTCATTAGTAGTCAGAATGGTATCCTTCAGTTGTGATCTGTGTGCCGACATATTAAAGAAACCAAAACTAGATCAACACAAAGAGCATTGTCGAAACAGTACCTTCACATGCCTTGACTGTAATACAACCTTCGAAGGGACTAAATATAGAAGTCATGTTAGTTGTATTAGTGAACAAGAGAAATATCAAAAGGGAATTTTCAAAGGAAAGAAGGTAATCCTCAATGGTAATATCATTTTATGGTTGGTTTTCGTAATTGCTCTGTTAAGTTTAAAATTGAACCATAGAAACAAGACAACCCCCCCGAAAAGTTGAACCAAACGCCGGCAACATCAAAACCAAAACAAAATGCCGGAACTAGCAATGAAGCAAGTCGAGAGCCGGCTCCTAAGAAAACCAAAGATGTGCTCGACAAGAAGAGTAAAGACGCGAATCATGAGAATGAACCGGACATGGATTATAAGAAAGAACAGGATGCCGTTCACCATAAGAAAGATCGAGCCGTGACTTCCAAAAAGAGTGGAGAGCAGGCTTCCGTGAATGACACAGAACAGCATGAAAAGAAGGATAGGAAAAAGAAAAAGTCTAAAAAAAAGGAAGCAGTAACCAAGAATGAGGAAAAGGAAAGTGTTGATGAAGATAAAAAAGAGTCCGAAGGTGATTTGGCTGCTGTTGAGAAATCCAAGAAAAAGTCTAAAAAAAAGGAAGCAGTAACCAAGAATGAGGAAAAGGAAAGTGTTGATGAAGATAAAATAGGGTCCGAAGGTGATTTGGCTGCTGTCGAGAAATCTAAGAAAAAGTCTGGAAAAGTAACCAAAGTCGTTGAAGTTTCGAAAAAGCGAAAAGCCGAGGAGCAACTTACCCCGGAAAAGAAACAGCCCGAAGCTCAGGCTGAAGACTCGAATGACAATGTTCGAAAGTCGAAGAAGAAAAAGTTGGCGCCACAAAACCCGACGCAATCACGACCAGAAGACGAAGACAAACTTGACGAACCCCCGGCTAAGGTAAAAAATCTTGATCAATCGGCTGATAAAAATAAGAAAAAGAAAAAGAAAACTGTCAAACTGGCTTCAACCGACGGAGGAGAAAATTCATCTAATTCTCGGGAAAAGACCGAATTGACTTCAACAAACGGAGAGGAAAATTCGTCTGATTCTCAGAAAGCGAAAATAACCGCTTTCGACTCTAGTTTGTCCCCTGTTAGTGCTGATAAAGATTTGAGACGTAAAAGAGAACAGCAAGATGCTGAATCTAGTTCCTCAAAAGGTGAAAAGAAACAGAAAACCGAGGCTATTGAAACTACATCGGTAAAACAAAATGATAACGTGAATGGTAAGAAGAAAAAGAAGCGTTCCGGCGCGGAAAAGAGTAATGAAAACACGAAAGATGACAGCTTTGGTTTCAAATTTTCCGCGATTGAAGCGTTAGAGAAAGCCTTTACGGAAGGGAAGGTAATGTGCCGAGAAAATTATTCTTTTGCCCATCCCTTTAAAAATGTTAATTATCTTATTCACCATTTATGAATTTCACCGTAGCATCAAGAAATAACGCTTCAACAATTGGAAAAAATGGTTGTTGATCAATACTCCGCTGACCCAAAGAACACATTGAATTCTAGCGAACTGGGTCAAAAATTCAGAGAGAGCATTACATTCGTGTTCAAAGATGGAAATGTAACATTAAAATAAAACAATTCAATATTTGTTATAAATTATAATATTCAAGTGTGATTCTTACCCTTGAAATTAAATTCAATAAAGTTGATTTTACCATTCAAATCGGTTTCCATAGAGGTTCACACCTGAAATTTCGACAAATGTTTGGGCAGGATATTTCGCATCCCTGTCAATTTTCAAATTACACAAATCGCCTTTGAATGTCTTTGGTTCATCAAGATTATTTCTATATGAATTCACAATTTTTATATATTTTTGATACGTACATTTAATAATCTTACAAATATTGAATTCTTTTAACATTCATAACTTGAAGTATAATTAAGTCCTTTTATACGAGCAATTTTTTGATCAATAATTATTTACAATAACTTTGATATAATCAATAGGTCAATTAATCTTAACACTTATTAATTTAATTAATTAGATTACAAATTTGTTATATACTTCTTAGTATTCTTTTTTTAATTAAAAATTTTTTTTTCTTTTTTTTTTTATATTTTTCAAAGTTCCATTGCTTTGTAATTCATAATATTTTCTAAATAACTTGACAATAAAGTTATCTATTTTTACTATAAATATTATTTAATTATGGTAATATCCAAAAAATAAGAAAATTCTATTTATAAATTAATTAATTAAATCTATATATTTATTTTTAATTGATATTTCTTGAAATAATATATATACAATATGAATAGATTATCTTAACCAATTATAATAGTTAAATCCTTTATGTTTTTTTAAAATTTTTTATATTCTTTATTATTATTATTTTTTTTTTAACCTGCAATCATGTCACAATGACATGTCTTTTATTGAGATATTAAAAGCTACCACAATGTTTATAGACTTTCACAAAACAATTAACTCGTCATTGTACATTATTAGTTAAAGGATTATATTACTTAAAACATATGAGAAGTTCACTAAGCTAGTTTGGACTAAACAAAACTAAGTCTAAACTAGGTACTCTAAGTCAGATTTTGAGAACAATATTATACTCTCCTAGTAACTTGATATTAATCTCTAAGTTAACCAAGGTTATTGCCAATAGTTTGTCATTATTAATTATCCCAAAAAATGATGAATTGCTAAAGTTGGCATTGGAGAAAAAGAAAAAGGAGAATACAATTCAAAGTTCTTCAAAAGGTTTTTGATCCATTTTACAGTTTTCTCTTGAAAGGGATTTACTTAATTGAGATATTCTCTAAGCTTCATAACATTTGAGGAACTTTACTATTCCTAAAAGAGACTTCAAGAAGAATGTTTAAGAAACTTATTCTTCTGCCAATATATGAATTTGCTTAATGCTACTAGAGCCAAAGCCATATTACAAAAGAGTTCACCTGACCAGAATAAAGAAATCTTTTCAAAAACTTTGTTTAATTGGGATAAAAATTTGGAGATCTTAGCTTTTGTTCAAGAAAGTCTTTTCACCATCTGAGAAACTTAATAAAAAATGGGAGTTGGATCTTCTTTTCCTACCTATCACTCATCTTTTAGTATTATAATTGTTTTTTGGTGGTTGAATATATATGATTAGAGGGAACACTTTTTCTAGAACTTTCTTTTCTACATCATCAATAATGTATCGAGATATGTGAGTGTAATCAATAAGAACTTATTTACATTCCCAAAAACTGATATATTTCATATCAGCCAATTATCTTTGGTGAGAATTTGTGCTATCCAAAATTCAGGGTCAAACTGAGGTAGGTAAAATTTTTCAGAAAATCATAAAAATGGGAGCTCTATATCAGGAAATTTTTTTGACAAAAATTTTAAAGATTTTTGGGCATAAAACTTCGGAGGCACTCCGTCATCGTTAAAAGTCTTCAGAGAGGAGATTTATATATAAAACTCTAGAGAATTTTGAATGTTTTAAATTGTAATAAAATAATTTCGCATTATTATTAAAATATTTATTTTTAAAAATTTATT